ATAAAGTAAACCATACAATCACTTTACACTGTAAACTGTGTATAAAGTAACCCATACAATCACTTTATACTGTAAACTGTGTGTATAAAGTAAACCATACAACCACTTTACACTGTAAACTGTGTGTATAAAGTAACCCATACAATCACTTTATACTGTAAACTGTGTGTATAAAGTAACCCATACAATCACTTTACACTGTAAACTGTGTGTATAAATAACCCATACAACCACTTTACACTGTAAACTGTGTGTATAAATAACCCATACAATCACTTTACACTATAAACTGTGTGTATAAATAACCCATACAACCACTTTACACTGTAAACTGTGTATAAAGTAACCCTTACAATCACTTTACACTGTAAAATACATAGTGGATTTTTGCATTAAATAGCAAGATTAACTGACCTTATTTTTGTCTCTGTTATTAAAGGCAAGTAATTTGGTGCAGTGATACTGATTCCAAAATTCCAAAATGTGTTTGACAAACTTTTCTTCAGCTGTTTGGAGTTCAACTGAACTCACGTTTAACACGAAGAAAATGGTCACTATTTGCCATCAGAACATGTGTAGTATTGTGTTTTACCAATGGTTGTTAAGGTTCTTTGAAAGTCAGCCGTTGATCAAGGTCTTTGGTAGAGAGCCTAAAGATGAAAATGGTCACTATTTGCCATCAGAACATGTGTAGTATTGTGTTTTACCAATGGTTGTTAAGGTTCTTTGAAAGTCAGCCGTTGATCAAGGTCTTTGGTAGAGAGCCTAAAGATGAAAATGGTCACTATTTGCCATCAGAACATGTGTAGTATTGTGTTTTACCAATGGTTGTTAAGGTTCTTTGAAAGTCAGCCGTTGATCAAGGTCTTTGGTAGAGAGCCTAAAGATGAAAATGGTCACTATTTGCCATCAGAACATGTGTAGTATTGTGTTTTACCAATGGTTGTTAAGGTTCTTTGAAAGTCAGCCGTTGATCAAGGTCTTTGGTAGAGAGCCTAAAGAGGACACATTTCATTGGGTGTAAATGTTGACCTTCTGACTTTGTTACCAGCTGATTATACTTTGAATAGAATGTTAGTTGTTATTGGTTGATTTCTGATTCCACTTTCATTGCAGAAGAGTTTAACATCTAATTTGAACGTGCGATTTGTTTTCTAAGTTTTTTTACACTTTCTGTAAATTGTAAAAATAATTTTGTAACTAAAAAAAAAGGTGTTGAAAGGTTCAATCTTGAAGCACCTCAATGGCTATCTGGAATGGAAGATGGCATTTTGTTTGTTCTGCTTTTCAGGAGGAAAAAGTAAATCAGTAGAATTAGAAGATGTGAAATTCCACCAGTGTGTGCGTCTCTCCAGATTCGAAAATGACCGTACTATCTCTTTCATACCACCAGATGGTGAATTTGAACTAATGTCATACCGTCTTAACACTCACGTGAGTTCTTTAAAAACATTTAATAAATAGTAGTTGCATGATTGATATAGTTTTCTAATTGCTCTGGACGGGAAGATTCATGTGTAGCTTAAATCCATGGATTTCTGGATATTGTGTGGTTATACCACTGTATGTATAACTGTTTGTGAATGTGTTGATTGTCAGTCAGTTCCAAAATATGAGATGTAAAATAGTATCAAGTTAGACTGAAGATAGCATTAAACCAGACAGTGAAACTTAAGGCTTTGTTAGAATGTGGCATATTGATATTTTAGGGTAGTTAAAATGTGGCATATTGATATTTTAGAATAGTTAAAATGTGGCATATTGATATTTTAGAATAGTTAAAATGTGGCATATTGATATTTT